TCACATGTAACTTTTTTAAAGATTCTATTCATCTCCTTAGCTTTTTTCTTATTTTATAGTGAGATGTATCTAACTTTTAGAAGGGAAAGATAAGGTTCCCCCAGTTATCACAGTTTTACTGTCTATTTCCTACTTTAATTGATTTAGAATGTGGATGCTATGTTATTTTGGCGCATTTATATTTCATATTGATATTCCTCCAATTTCTATGTACCTTTCATCAAACATGGCTTCCCTGCTTTTCTCTTTTAATTAGGCCTATTTTGCTTTTGCTTTGTTTGAGATCATGATTGCTGTCGCTACCTTTTTTAATTCAGCTGAAGCATAATATATTCTACTCCAGTCCCTTATTTTAACTTTGTATGCCTCTCTGTTTCAAGTGTGTTTCTTATATCAACATATTGTTGGATTCTGGTTTCTAATCTATTCTGTCTTCTATCTATTCTTCTATCTTATTCTATCTATTCTATCTCTCTAGGTCCTTAAGTGTGACCCTTTGACAGAATCCAAACTTCTTGAAGTCAAAGGGCCACACTTGAGGACCTAGAGGGCTGCATGTGGCCTCAAGGCTGCAGGTTCCCCATTCCTGATTTAAACATTTCCCAACCCCCAATCATTTCTCCCTCCACTATAAATGCTCTTCTTTGCACACCTATTTTGTGTGAGATATTTTTTCCCATACTTCCTCTCACTTCCTTCTCTCAGGGTATCCCTCATTCTCACCCATCCATTGTTTTCTATCTTCTCCCAAAATAATTGACATACTCCCGTACCTTCTGTTTATGTAAAATCCTCCTAACTGCGCTAATAATAATCATTTTATTAGAAGTTACATGTATCATCTTCCCATATAAGAACAGCAACAGTTTAAATTGATTGAATCCTTTATAATTTCTGTGTCATGTCTACCCTCTTTATGATTCTCTTGAGTCTTGTATTTGAAAGTCAAATTTTTTATTCAGTTCTGTCTTTTCATCAGCAATATTTGAAAGTCCTTTATTTCATTAAATACCCTTTTTTCCCCCTTGAAGGACTATACTCAGTTTTGCTGGATAGGTTATTCTTAGTTGTAATCCTAGCTCTTTTGCCTTCTGTAATATCATGTTACTTTCTCTAGTCCTTTTGGGTAGTAGCTGCTAAATATTGTGCGATCCTGATTGTGGTTCCATTATATTTGAATATTTTCCTTATGGCTGCTGAAAGTATTTTCTCTTTGACCTGAGAGCTCTGAAATTTAACTATACTATTCCTAGGAGTATTCATTTCAGTATCTCTTTCAGGTGGTGATTAATGGAGTCTTTCAATTTCTATTTTACTTTCTGGTTCTGGGATATCTGGGTAGTTTTCCTTAATTTTTTCTTTTTGAAATATGATGTCTAGGCTCTTTCTTTGATCACAGATTTCAAGTCATACAATAATTTTTAAATTATCTCTCCTAGATCCATTTTGCAGATCAGTTGTTTTTCTGATAAAATATTTCACATTTTCTTCTATTTTTTTTTCATTCTTTTGACTTTAATTTTTTTTCTTGATGCCTCATGGAGTCATTAATGTCTACTTACTCAATTCCAATTTTTAAGATATTATTTTCTTTAGTGAGCTTTTGTATCTCTTTTTTCATTTGATTGATTCTTTTTTTTAAGGTATTTTCTTCAGTATTTTGTGCCTCTTTTTCCTAGCTGTTAATTTTTTTTTCCTAATTGTCTTGCCTTGATATCATTTACTTACCTAATTTTTCCTCTATCACTCATATTTGATTTTTTGAAAATGATTTCTTAGCTCCTTCAGAAATACTTATTGTACTTGTGTCCAATTCACTTTTTTTGAGGCTTTGCTTGTAGCATTGTCTGCTTATAAATTTGTATCTTTGTTTTCCTTGTCATCCAGTTTTTCATGATCTTTTTCATTGTTTACTCATTTTTCCATCCTATTTCTTAACTTTGAACTTTGTATTTAAATTGGAATCTGTTCCCATCGTGGAGGAAGAGTACTGTCCCAAGCTTTCACACTGCTGTTTTCAAAGCTAGCTCAGGAAAATTGGAATTTTTCAGTGTTTACAAGGTGGTGTCTTCTGGGCAGAGGTGTGGTCACTGCTCTCCTGGTCTGTACTCTCCTTCTTACACAGGAAGAGACCCTGTTTCATTGTAGATGCAAATGCTATTGCTCCTCAGAGCCCCTTCTCCCTTGCTGTACCAAGTGCTCTTCTCTACCTTGGAATTGCTACTTGGAAGTGGGTATGTGCAATAGTATTACTAAACAGCACCCTATCCATTTGCAGTACTTGAAGAATGGTCCCCTGTACTCTGATGCTGAGTTGTCCACTCTCCTTATCATCTCTGGGAAGAAGATTACAGAATCAGCTGCTGCTGTTGTTGCCTCCACCTCAAAGGCTAACAGCTGGTGTTTTCACCACATTTGCTCTGGGCCAGACCCCTCCCCAGTGTCACAGACCTCTCTTTCCAATCTCCCTCGTTGTTTTTGGCTGGAAAAATGTCTCACCCCAACTTTTTGTTGGCTCTGCCACTCTAGAATTTGATTTAAGGCATTATTTTAAAGTTATTTGGAGGGAAATGTTGGGAGATGTTAGCTTTAGTGCTTCTTCTGTTCTGACATCTTGGTACCACTTCACAAACTTTTACATTTCTATATAATTATCTGTACTGTATAAATATCTATATAAATATTTGTATTATATAGTTCTTTATGAATTAAAATTCTATGTCAGTATTTATATCTATGTAGATATCAGTATTTTTGAGAAACAAAGGAATGTCTTGGAGTCAGGATGAACTGGATGTAAGTCCTGGATAATGGCTGCATCATGCTATACAAAGTATTTAATAATAATAACTAATAATAATGATGATGATGATAGTAATATCTAACATTTTATGGTGCTTACTATGTGCTAGGCATTGTACTAAGTGCTTTACAAACATTTCATTTTATCCTTACACAAACCTGTGAGGGAGGTGCTATTATCTCTATTTTACAATTGAGGAAACTGAGGTAAAGAGAGCTTAAGTGACTTGGCCAGAGTCACACAGATGCTAAGAATCTGAGGCCAAATTTGAACTCAAGTTTTCCTGACTCTAGGCCTAGCTTTTTATGTACTCAGTGTCCCCCAACTACATTCTGAGATTTTAAATGGTGAAACGGGTTCCTGTTTTCATTTGGGGATGGGAGCTTCCTGAACAGGAGTTCTCCATATAAATGAAAGAAAAAAAAAACTATTCCAGAAATAAGGACCAAACCAAAAAATCCTCCACTAATTATTACTTTTATTTTGCCATGACAAGGGTACCTGGTACACGAGGTATCCAAGAAAGAAGTTTAAAAAAATTTTCAAGGTTGTTTTAAGAACTATTATTATAGGCATCACTGAAAATATTCAAGAACTGGAATATTATCTTAAATGTATTTGGCTGATTTGGTTCCCCTAATTCACTGTTTCAGGTATCTGTGATTAATTTGCACATAGACATTTTTTCTACCTATGTGGATAGTGACTGAGGCCTTTGTACAGTGTCTTCATGAGTTGTCAAAAAAACCATCAGTCAAGAGGTAGTGATTAAGTGCCTATGATGTTGCGGGCACTGTACTAGGTATTGGAATACAGATTTTGTTGTTGTTCAGTTATTTTCAATCATGTCTAACTCTTCATGACCCTATTTGGGGGTTTCTTGGCAAATATATTGGAGTGGTTTGCCATTTCCTTCTCCAGCTCATTTTATGGATGAGTAAACTTAGGCAAACAGGTTAAGTGACTTACCCAGAGTCACACAATTATTCAGTGTCTGAGTCTGGATTTGAATTCAGGTCTTCCTGAGGCCAGGCCAGGCACTCTATACAATGGGCTACTTAGCTTCCATGGGAAAACAGATACGAAGAATGAAAAAACAATTCTTATTCTCAAGGAGCTTTTACTCAATGGAGGAGATGACAAGCTCAGTTAGAATTATATACAGACACACAATCTATACCTGGGCCTTAGGGAAATATTTTCTAGCTTAGTATAGGACTTCCCAGAATTTGCTCTCAAGAAACACCAAAATAGGACTTTAACTTTACTGGATTTAGTGTTGGCTGTATTATTGTATATATTGCATACTTATTTTAATCCCACCATTTTTCTTCCATGCTGCCACCCCTATTTTAAATCTAAATTACCTTTCTCTGTCATTTATTCTTCCTTTCCTATTTCTTTATTCTTTTTTTTTTCTGTTGCATTGCTTTACTCTTTTTAGCTCTGGCTTCTTTTCTCCTCGATTTCTCATAATCTTTTCTCCCTTCATCGTCATGGGACTAAGAACTAGAGGTCAAAAATCTAAGAAGTGACTTAATAACTTTCAATTATATGAAAAAGTTATCATATAGACCAGAAATTCTTTTTTTGTATTTGACATGGGCTTTTTTGGCAATATGATGAAACCTATGGAACTCTTTTCAGCATGGTTTTAAAAAAATACAAAATTAAATACTTAGAATTATAAAGGAAACTATTTCTATGGAAATATATTTATCAAAATATTGTTTAAAAACAACAAGGTCAGGGACCCTGAATTCCAGATCCTTAATATAGGGAATATTTGTGATTTGTTTATAAATATCAATAATAAAGAAATGAATTTAAGTTTCGGTTTAAAAAATCTTAAATATTAAAATATTCATTGAGAGGTTCATAGAAATGTTGAATTTTCTCATAGTTTCAGTCATATATTACTGATTCTTATTTCTATGTCACAGATATTGTCCGTATATAGATTTGAACATCATTTGATATAATTAATCATTTTTCATCTGATCATAAAATGATGAGGAACAAATTGCTACTTGTAGCTACAGTCCTACTAGAATATGATAAAAATATTGACCCTTTAGAGAAACATTTTTCTTTAGATTGAGAGATGTTTGTGACAAAAAATTTCAAAAAGTATACAATAACACATGTTCATTAATACACATTTAGAAAAGTTTGTGAGCTTCTGAATTCTTTTCAGGATACTCTATCATGCTCTTCATGGCCAACCTCACCAGGTCTGAGATGGGAAAAGAGATGGTGTGACCTTCGATTAATCCCCTTACTTCATTCACGTTTCTCCAGTACCTCCCTGGATCAGATTTGTGTAGGTGAGTGGCTCCATATTAATTTTATATTGACAAGAAAATATGCTTATAAACTTGTTGCCTGGGTGTGTGTGTGTGTGTGTGTGTGTGTGTGGTGAATGTGTGCAAGCAAATTTTATCTAACTTCATCTTTATTGGTAGGAAATGGAAACTATTTTGAAAAATTTTCTGAATATTTTTAAAGCCAGCTTTAAATATCAGGATCAATCCTTAACAACCACTTAAACTCAAAAGAGATGGAGAAATAGCTGACAACTGCACAGCCCCAGAGCATAGTTTGCTATTGTTATTGTTGTTTGTTTGCTTTTAAATGGATAGGTAGATTTCTTTTTTTTCTAAATGACCATATATTTATATCTGGACGGGACTTCAAAGACTAGTTAGTACTACTCACTCATTTTACTGATGAATAAACTTTGTCCTGGGGAGATTAAATGACTTGACCAAAGTCACATAGGTAGTAAATATCAGAGGCAAGATATGAATGCATGTCTTTCCACACTCACTAGAGATTCTCTGTAACTACTCAGTTCCTCTGGAGGAAGGACATTCCTTCTTAAGGGGCAGCTAGGGGGCTCAGACTATACCCAGCCTGTAGTCAGGAAAACCTGACTAAAAATGCAGCTTCAGACACTTAATAGCCGTGTGACCCTGGGCAAGTCACTTAAGACTTTTTGCCTCAATATCCTCAGCCATAAAACGAAGTGAAAAGGAAATGACAAAACTACTATAGTATCCTTGTCAAGAAAACCCCAAATGGGGTCACAAAAACTTGGACATGACTAAAACAACAAATTCCTTTTTAAAATGATGTAAATTTGCAAGAAATCTTTCAGGCCATATTTGCTTGGCTCTGACTTGATGTGATGTAGGGGTTCAGGGTGGTGGGACCCCAATATCACAATGCATGGGTTCTGCCCACAAGAATTCAACCCAAGCCTTCTTTTAGCCAAAGACAAGTTTTATTAGAACATCCATCATATTGGGCAGACTCTTAAGGAGTCAGAACATTAGTAAGCTATTGGCTATACTATAAGAATCTGACCAGTGGCTAGATTTTAAGAATCTAAGCATCTTAATGGAGACAAGATGGACCTTATATACAGGAAGACTGTGGGAGGGATATAGCAGGGACCAAGTAGTTTGGGGTGACTGGAGGAGGGGTCTAAGGAGATATGGATGGGAGTGGCCAGTAAGTTGAGGTGAACAGAACTCCTGGGACCTGGAAAATGGAGCCTAGCTAGGATTAAGTGTGGAAAATGGGCAATAGGGAGGGCTAGGCTAGGTTAAGGGTAATAGAATTGGGAGACTGTCCACCAGAAACTTGGCAATGTGGGAAAGTCCAGTGTTTTTCGTTTTGGGGATTTAGTTCCCATCCTCATCATGACTCAGCTGTTTTTGTGCAGTAAAAAGAAAAGTCTTTCCTGCTTCTTTTTGTGAAAGGAAATATCATTCTAGTTTGAAAAGGAAATTCAAGAATATTGATTATAAGTTATAAAAAAAATGGCAGGAAAAGACAGCAATAAAACTTAGAAGATTGTATGAGTAAAGTCAGGGATGTTGTTGTTGTTCAGTCATTTTAGCCATGCCCAACTCTTTGTGACTCTATTTGGGGTTTTCTTTGCAAAGATACTGGAGTGGTTTGTCATTTCCTTCTCCAGCTCATTTTATAGATGAGGAACTCAGGCAAATGGGGTTAAATGATGTACCCATAGTCACAAAACTACTAAGTGTCTAAGCCTGATATGTTTTAGGGGTTTAGGGGTGCTGGGACCCCAAAATCACAGCATACAAGTCCTGCCCTAAAGAATTCGACCCATGCCTTCTTTCAGCCAAAAACAAGGTTGATTACAACATTGTCATATTGGGCAGATTCTTAAGGAGTCTGAAAATGAGTGAGCAGTGGCTAAATTATAAGAATCTAAGCAGTGGCTAGATTTTAGGAATCTGAACAAAGGCTAGATTATAAGAATTCCAGTCCCTTAATGGAGAAAAGATGGACCTTATATACAGAAAGCCTGTGGGAAGGATGTAGGAGTGGCCAAGTAGTTTGGAGTAATGGGAGGAGGGGCCTAAGGAGATCTGGATGGGAGTGGCCAGTTAGCTGGGGTGAATAGAACTCCTGGGACCTGGACAATGGAGCCTAGCTAGGATTAAGTGTGGGAAATGCCTGGGGGTCATAGAGAGATAAGACAATGGAGGGGAGATTGGGTGTAGCCACAATGAAAGGCCAGTTGATAGAATCATAGCCTCAGGTGAATGCCAGAGACTTGGCCACCTGGGAAAGTCCAGGATTTATCCTTTTTGGGGTCTAGATCCCATCCTCATCCCATCCTGAGTTGAACTCAGGGAGATGAGTCTTTTTGATTATAGGCCAGACCTTTATCCACTGTGCTAAGTAGCTGCCCCCAAAGTTAAGGAAGTTAGTGCCAATTTCATGTCTAGTTCTGCAAATATCATGTCTTTCTATTGATAACTCTACAAGCATCAATGAAAACTATCTGGAAATTAATCAGAATCAGGTATCAGATCTTCCACTATCTGAATAAATAATTTGAATGTAGTAAATATTAAACTTTATAGAGTTGTGTAGAATCTTATTTTTAAGTTTCATTATATTATATATGAGTAAATATTATATTGTGTTTAGAGGCAGCTACATGGTACAATGAACAAAACACTGGGCCTGGGGTCAGGAACACCTGAATTCAAATCTGGCTTCAAGCACTTAACTATTTGTGTGACCTTGAACAAATCACTTAACATCTACTTCCCTCAGTTTCCTCAACTGTAAAATGGACATAATAACAACACTGACTTCCCAAGGTTGTTGTGTGGATCAGATGAGATGTTTATTGTAAAGCACTTAGCAGAGTGCCTGGCATATAGTAAGTGCTATGAAAATAGTAGCTATTACTTACTGTTGTTACTATATTTTTGAAGTTAAGTTCATATAAATATCAGTAAGGACACATTGATTTTGTTAGAATCATGCTATTTCATCTGCATATGGTAATTTCCAGTGTAGAGAACCTCCCCAAGAAATGCTTATTTGCCGCTGCTCTGCCCTCCAGCCCTACTGAGTTGCCTGGAGCACTGGAAGTTTAAGTGACTTGTCAAAGGTTGTTAGAAGATGGACCTTAAATCCAGGTCTTTCTAACTTTAAGGCTAGACATCTAGCTGCTACATCATACATATGCAGACACAAATCTAATTCTGAAAATAATGCCAGAATGTTAACAGCCAATTTATATGCTCAATATGTTTTCAAGAACAAATCTCCCTCCAAAAGGATTAAATTAAATCCAGAAAGTTTTAACTACAATTGTATTCATAGAAAGGCATTTATTTATTTATAAAAGTCTGGGTAAAGAGATGGAGGCTTTTGTTTCCACAGATAACTCTTCATTCATATAAATGCTGAATAAAGGTGACTGAAGAATTTCAATAATGGTAAATATAAGCCTAGATAGTCCTTCAGAGTACCATGGATTCCCATCTTGACCTTCCCCCTTTCCCCCTCTCAAACCAAAAATAGCTGAATTCTGAAAATTCATGTAGTGCATTTTGATTTGGATTATGCCAACAATAATTTAATAACCAGCTCTAAAACCATAATGTTCAGTTAGTGTCTAAAGGTTAGGCTAAACTTACTAAGTAACAACATTATATTTCTAGATCAATATTGTATGGGTCTACCTCAAAGTGGGAGCAGAGACTGCAAACTGTAGGCTAGTCCACTTATTAGAAAATAAGACTACAATTTTGAGTTTAATTACTGAAAATTGTTGTGAAATTCAACAGTCTTTAAGAGTAATTCTTTTTGACAGAAGCAAAAGCAGAAATCCTTAGAGATTTGAAAGCAATATTTTTTTAAATGGCAAATAAAGAATATACAGGCAAAATTACACTTTCCATAACACTTTAATTATGTAGCTGTTTTCTAGCAGATATATTTCTTTTTAAGGTAAGAATCATAAAACAGTTTGAGTGTTCTCAAGAGGACAGAAAATATTTTTAGAGTTTAATGTCCCTTTCCACTAAATAAATAGGTAATGGAGGATGTTGATTTCATAAAGAGTCCCGCAAACTATAAATAAACTAAATAGATTAACTATTCCTGCTTACTTCATGTCCAATAATTCTATCTTTTTTAAATTAAATGCAAACATCTATTTTTTTTCTTTTGTGATATCTGTCGCTGAAGAGTAAACACAAGTCTTGGAAAATTATGAGCCAAATAATACTTGACAGTATGGGAGAGTTGCAAGCCCAGTCAACACTACCTTGAGTGTAGCACAGGAGACAACAGTGATGTGGGAAATGACAATTATATTTTTGTTATAATTGAGGAAATTGAAACATAAGAAGGCTATATGACTTACCTACCTTTATTAATTAATTAAGGTCCATCTTCTAACAACCTTTGACAAGTCACTTAAACTTCCAGTGGTAAAATAATTCTGAATTCTTAACTCATCCAGTCATATGAAAAAGCCACATGGACAAGAGACTACACTTAAAACAAGAAATATTCTAAACAATTCATTTAGCATATGCAAAAGGATTTACCCCAAAGTGCAGAAAATTGATTCAGAGAATGAGAAAAATGATACAGAGGCCAATATAGGTTTCTTCAGAGTTACAAATTTATTTTGAAATTATTTATATCTAGGAACTCATGTGTATATGTATTTGTAAGTATATAAGTGTATTATATAATTTAATAGTCCAAAGGTTGCTGTAAGTGAATATTATTTTAATCAGATATTACTACCTAATAATATCAGTGATTTTGCACAGATGTTTTTGTTTTCACATGAAGCTAATATTTGTAAAAATATGCTTTCTTTTACATTACATGATGTCTAATTCTACTAAGCCAGAATTTCTTAACTTTTTATCTCATGGACTTTTATGGAAATCTGGTCATCCCTATTGACCCTTTCTCAAAATAATATTTTTAAATGCATAAAAAAATACATAGGATTACAAGGAAAACTAATTCTTTGGTAAAAAAAAATATTAGGTTTTTTTTTAAGTTTATCAACTCCAGATTAAGAACCTTTGCTCTTAGCAGGGAGGTGAGAAATGTACGTATTACCATGCATCCATTAGTTCTATATTTCCATAAATTGATGAATTGAATTCTGAAGTTTCTTTTGAAATGTCTCACTCTGTTGATCATTGTTATCAAAGCAAAGAAAGTTGTGTAAAGTTATTGCTTCCCAGACCCTCACATAGGTTTGCCCTGACATATTCTCAAAAGAACATTATATTACAAATAATTTTTGTTTACTTCCCACTGGGGTAGAGTAGGATATCCCTGATTTATAAAAGGAAAATCATGAAATATATATCCAGGAGATTAGAACCAGGACTCATGTAAAAATAAGATCTCATATTCCAGTGGCATCATTGTGTGTCCAAGTTATGAGCTATGAGTTGAACACAAAGAGGAGAGGAGGAGAGTGGCAGAATGCCTAATGAAGCATTCTGTACCCACCATATGCTTTGTGGGCTTTTTTTTTATTTGTTTGTTTTGGGAAATGAAGTAATATCTAATATCCATGGATCTAAAGCCACCAAAGCTTTTTTCAGGATGGAAGCCAAAAAGGATGTTTACTGAAAACTGAGAAATGTGTACAACTTTTATAGCATTTTGAACACTGAACAGCAGAAGTTTTCCATTGCTTTCTAATTGCTTGGAACTTAAATGTGGTTTGTTATGCAATCCAATATGCTGTGGCAAATGCACATAGTAGAACAAAGAGGCATGAAAGGCTTGGATGGTTTCCATTCATTTCAGTATCTTTCACTTCTGTTGTGCCTAGCTTATGTCTAAACAATGCAAAAGCACAATGTAAAATGGAATAATTAAATCTGTGGGGAGTAACTTGGAATTCTACAGCATTTTCATAAGCAATTTAGAAGAGGATCATTTCATTTTCTTAAACAAAAACATAATCAATGAAAGCCCATAAGGGGTACTTAGACACTGTTCATTTCATTCTAAGGAAAACTTTGGTCATTACTGAAAATCATTAAGTTTGCATAGGGAATAAGATACAAATTTTTGTACCATGAAGGGACCTAAGAGACCACCCTATCTAACCCTTTCTTTCTACAGTTGGGCAAGTTGAGGCCCAGAAAGGTTAAGCAATTTATCCAAGGTCAAGCAGTAAATAGAAGAACTACATCCTTCTCTGTAAAAGGAGAAGGTTGGAGGAGATGATCTCCAAGGTCACTTTATAGATCTAAATCAAGTACTTCTATGATTTTAAAAGATTAGTGTAGTTGGGTCTCTCTCCATAATCATTATGTCAGTGACCTCCCCTCCTACGTATTTGATGATACTACAAACCAACAAGTGGTTTGAAAAGTAGACAAAAATAATGGCATATCCTCTCTGTGTGAATTTGCATGGCTAATTCTTCATTGATTAGAGTCATTTTAAATTTTCTTGAGACTTCTGCCATGAATATAATTAACCCTTCTATCCCCAGTGCTGCCAAATATTTGTTTTTCTGTCAAGAAGTTTCTACTGTCTTGAAATTATGTGTTGCCTAGATTCACCTTTACTGTTCCACTTTCAAACTTAAGCATTTATAAGGTTCAGAATGTATGCGTCACATTGTTAGGAAGAAAATATTTTTAACAAGTCTTATCTCATCTTGAGATGAATGTTTAGATAAATAAGATTGTTTTCTGATCTGACCTCTCATGATATATCTACAGGCAGAATGCTTTTCAAGTAATTGCTGTGGATGGGGTTTGTAGTGGAATAATTCAGTGTCTCTCTGCTGAAGACTGCATTGATTGGCTACAAGCAATAGCAACAAATATTTCAAACCTCACAAAGCACAATGTAAGTATGAACCTAAATGATTCAGGAGATTTCCAATGATATTGAATGAGAGCTATTGTAAAATTCTCTTGGGTTTCAGTCTAGACATAACTGTGCATAAACCTTGCTTGGTGCTTCCACAGAGAAGTCAAGCTGGATAACTTATTGAAAGTTATCATTTTACTATAAGCTATCTTAGCTGCCTTTATCAGGTTTAGAACAAAGTACTTTCTCCACAAGGTACCAACACATAGCCAGCAAGAATACATGACAAATATTGGTTACGCTCAATATATCTACTGTTGTATTTACTGTGCTTATTAAATACAATTAAGTATATGCTTTCTCGATTCAAGTACAGTCATATCTTGGAGATATTGCAGGTTTGGTTCCAGACCACTGCAATAAAGCTAATATTACAATAAAGCAAGTCACACAATCTTTTTTAGTTTCTCAGAGCACATAAAATTATGTTTGTACTATACTGTAGGTATTGTATTATGACTATAAAACAATGTACATACCTTAGTTAAAAACACATTATTATTAAAATTGCTAACCATTATCTCAGCCTTCAGCAAGTTGTAATCTTTTTCCTGGTAGAGGGTGTTTCCTCAGTGTTAATGGCTGTTGATTAACTAGTGTGGTAGTTGCTGAAGGTTGGGGTATCTGTGGCAATTTCTCAAAATAAGACAACAATGAAGTTTGCCACATTGATTGACTCTTCCTTTTGTGAAAGACTTCTCTGTAGCATGTGATGCTGTTTATTAGCATTTTACGCACATTAGAACTTTCAAAATTAGAGTCAATATTCTCAAACTCTGCCGCTTCTTTATCAACTAAGTTTATATAATATTCGTCAATATTGTGGCCAGAGGAGAAGGAGAAACATGGTGGAATATCTGGTTGTTTGAGCAGTCATAAGACATATAACATTTATCACTTAAATTCACCCTCATATAAATGCAGTTTGTGGCACCCCAAAATAATTACAATAGTAACATCAAAGATCACTGATTACAGATTACCGTAAGTGATATAATAATAATAATGAAATACTAAAAAGTGGAGACATCATTTTGCTTACCTACAAAAGTCCAAATAGTTAAAGCTATGGTTTTTCCAGTAGCAACGTAAGGCCATGAAAGTCGAACTAAAAGTAAAGCTGAGTGCCACAGAATGAATTATTTTGAACTGTGGTGCTGAAGACTTTTGAGGATCCTTTGGACAGCAAGGAGGTCAAATCAGTCAATATTTAAAGAAGTTAATTCAGACTACTCCTTGGAAGATCAAATACTAAAGCTTAAATGTTTTGCCCACCTAATGAAAAGACAGGACTCATTGGAAAAGACCCTGATGTTGAAAAGGATTAAAGGCAAAAGGAAAAGGGAATGACAGAGGATGAGATGGATAGATAGTATCATGGAGGCATCAAACATGGATTTGGACATATTTCAAGAGATGGTAGAGATAGAAGGGCCTGGTTTGCTGCAGTCCTTGAGTCTATACAGACTCATGAAGAGTCAGACACAACTGAATGACTGAACAACAACAAAATGAAAAAGTTTGAAATATTGTAAGAATTACCAAAATGTGATATGGAGACAAGATGTGAGCACATGCTATTGGAAAAATGGCACCAATAGACTTGCTGCGGGCAGAGTTGTCACAACCTTTCAGTTAAAAAAAATGAAGTATTTGCAAAGTGTAAGAAAGTGAAGTACCCCAAAATGAAGTATGCCCATAGTAAAGAATTTCAAGGTGATATTAGCAGGTTTATTAGTTTTATGTGCTATTGGATGTGGTCTATAAATGTTTGAAAGACTAGAGAAAAAGGAAATAGAAGGGGAGGCATTCATAGCCAAAATTCTAAAGAGATACTGATACTCTGTGTTGCTACCGTTATAAAAAACATGACAGAGGTACAACTCAGAGGTTACGGACAGGTATAATAAATGCCCTCAAGTTGTTTTCCTACTTTTTTCTTTTATTTAAATAGTATTCTTTTTTTCCAAATTACACATCAATACAATTTTTATCATTCATTTTTACAAGATTTTGAGTTCCAAATTTTTGTCCCTTCCTCCTTACCATTCCCCCTTTCAAAAGAAGGTATGGAATTTGATATAAGTTATTCATGTATTATCATGTAAAACACATTTCCATATTAGTCACAGTTGTGAAAGAAGAAACAGATCAAAAGAAAAATACATAAAAAGAATAAAATAAGTGAAAAAATACTATTCGATTTGCATTCAGAGTCTATTACTTCTTTATCTGGTTAAGGGTAGCATTTTTCTTCATGAGTCCTATGTACTTGTCTTGGATCATTGTATTACTTGTTTTGTTTTTGTTTTTTGGTTGGGCAATAGGTTAAGTGACTTGCCCAGGGTCACATAGCTAGTAAATGTTACCTGTCTGAGGCTGGATTTGAACTCAGGTCCTCCTGAATCCAGGGCCAGTGCTCTATCCACTGCAGCACCTAGCTGCCCCAAGATCATTGTATTACTAAGGAGAGCCAAGTCATTCATAGTTGATTGTCACACAGTGTTGCTGTTACTATGTAAAATGTTTTCCTGGTTCTGCTCATTTCACTTTGTATCCGTTCATCCAAGTCTGTTCAGGTTTTTTTTTTTCTGAAATCTGCCTGTTCATCATTTCTTATTGTATAATGTTATTTTATTACATTGATATACCTGGTCCACCTAGTCCTCAATTGATGGGCATCCCCTCACTTTCCAATATTGTGCGTCACAGAAAGGTCTGCTATAAATATTTTCGCACATTTAGGGCCTTTTTCCTTTTTAATGATCTCTTTGGGACACAGACTTAGTAGTGATATTGCTAAATGAAAACATATGTGTAGTTTGGTTGCCCTTTGGACATAGTTCCAAATTGCTCTCCAGAATGGTTGGATCAGTTCACAACTCCACCAACAGAACCTTTCTTTCCCAAATTTCCCACATCATTTTCAACATTTATCATTTTCCTTTTTTGTCCATTAGCCAATCTGATAGGTGTGAGGTGGTACCTGAGAGTTGTTTTAATTTGCATTTTTCTAATCAAAAGTGATTTAGAGCATTTCTTCATATGCCTACATATAACTTTGATTTCTTCATCTGAAAACTAGCAGCTCATATCCTCTGACCATTTGTCATTTGGGGAATGGCTTGTATTCTTTTTTCTACATACTTGAGAAATGAGGTCATTATCAGTAATACTTGCTGTAAGATTGTTTCCCAGTTTTTGTTTTCCTTCTAATGTTGATTGATTTGTTTTTGTTTATACAAAAGCTTTTTATTTTAATATAATCAAAATTATCTATTTTATATTTCATAATGTGCTCTGTTTCTTGTTTGGTCATGAATTCTTCCCTTCCTCATAGGTCTGACAGGCCGACTATTCCTTGTTTTTCTAATTTGCTTACAGTGTCACTCCTCTCTTTTTATTTATTTATTTTTAGCTTTCAACATTCACTTCCACAAGATTTTGAGTTCCCAATTTTCTCCCCATCTCATCCCTCCCCCCACCTCAAGATGGCATGCATTCTGTATACCCCTTCCCCTGATCTGCCCTCCCTTCTATTTTCCTGTAGGGGCAGGATAGATTTCTATAGCCCATTTCCTGTATTTCTTATTTCCCAGTTACATACAAAAACATTTTTTTTAATATGTGTTTTTAAAACTTTGGGTTACAAATTTTCTCCCTTCCTCCCTCCCCACCCATCCTCATTGAAAAGGCAAACAACTCAATAGTAGTCACGCAAAACACTTCCATAGTAGTCGTATTGTGAAAAACTAAGTATATTTCCCTTCATCCTCTCCTGCCCCCATTTATTCTATTCTCTCTTTTGACCCTGTCCCTCCTCAGAAGGGTTTTCTTCAGATTACCCCTCCCCCATCTGACCTCCCCTCTATCATCCCCCTGCTTTCTTGTCCCCTTCCCCTCCTATTTTCCTGTAGGGGAAGATAGATTTCCATGCCCAATTGAGTTTGTATGTTATTCCCTCCTTAAACCAAATCCTACGAGAATAAAATTCACTCATTCCCTCTCATCTTCCCTTGTTTCCCCTCCACTGTAAAAGCCTTTTCTTGTCAGTTTCATGTGAGATAATTTGCCCCAATCTACCTCTCCCTTTTTCCTTCTCCTAGTATAAGCCTCTGTCACTCCTTAATTTTATTCTCCAGATATCACCCCTTCATCTTCAACTCACCCTGTACCCTCTATCTAGCTATCTATATACATACATATAATTTTTTTCCCTCCAACTACCCTAATATTGACAAAAGTCTCATGAGTTACAAATATCATCTTTCCATGTAGGAATATAAACAGTTCAACCTTAATTAATCTCTTATGATTTCTCTCTTCTGTTTACTTTTTAATGTTGCACTTGAATCTTGTATTTGAAAGTCAAATTTTCTATTCAGCTCTGGTCTTTTCATCAAGAATGCTTGAAAGTCACTTATTTCACTGAATGACCATTTTTTCCCCTGCAGGATTACGCTCAGTTTTGCTGGGTAGGTGAGATTCTTGGTTGTAGTACTATCTCCTTTGCCCTCCAGAATATTATATCACATGTTCTGCGGTCCCCTAATGTAGAAGTTGCTAAATCTTGTGTTATCCTGATTGTATTTCCACCATACTGGAATTGTTTCTTTCTGGCTGCTTACAATATTTTCTAGTGTCACTTCATGTCTAAATGATGCACCCCTTTTTATCTTACTTTGGTATACAGTGTGAGATGTTGAGTTATACCTAGTCTGTGTCCTATTGTTTTCCAGTTTTCCCAGCAGTTTTTGCCAAATGATGAGTTGTTATGTGAAAGGCTGGGGGTTTTGGTTTTATCAAAACACTGGGTTACTATGGCCATTGAGATACTGTGTCTTATATACCTAATCTATTCCACTGATCCGCCACTCATTTCTTAGCCAGTACCAGATAGTTTTGATGATTACCATGGTATAATATAGTCTGAGATCTGGTATTGCTATGTCACCTTCGTTCATATATTTTTTTTA